AGTATATACAAGACACAGATATTACGTCTTCAAGCTGAAGCAAGGCATTTAGATTTTTTGCAGCCAGTTGGCAAATTAGACTCACCCTTGGTTTGACTCGGAACGGTTTAGCGCATGTTGGATTTTAAAGCTAGATTTATTATTTCTATGTTTTTTTTTTTTTTTTTTTAGTTTTCAGATCTCTTCTGCACCTTTTTTTTAGCGACACACGACCATTTATTTAGGACTGTTCAGTGTAATTATATCAATTCTTAGTTATTCTTATTAAGGCAATTCATAGTGAATTTCATTTCGATTAAAGGGAACCATCTGCGCGTCGAGAGGGAGAAAACGAAATACAGAAAACGAGCCAAAGATAAGGCCAAACAGAGAACACAAATTTCAGCTAAGATGAAAAAATAACTTCACGGAAGAAGTAAACCGTCAGATCCTGCCACAATTCCGATTGTGCTGAGATTCTAGAGGGAATTAATATTTCTTGCAATTTGCACGACCAAACATGACTACATACATCATTCCCAAACAATCTGCAAGTCAGCATTTGAAAGAATAAACTTCTTCATCGACATCAAACGAATAGCTGGAGGACATGAAACCATAATCTCTTCATGGGCAGAAGAAAGACGAAAAACTGAAAATTTTTGATTTGTTGGATGCATGTAATTAGCTGGTCATAAAAAAAAATGAACGGTCACCAACAATCTTTCTTAAGCAGTCAATCAGTATTATTAGCCGGTAAACATCCGGGAAAACGTAAACCTCAATCCCATTGAACGTCATGGCAGACATCTGACACGTTATACAGAACATTAGTAAATAATAAAAAGCTTAGATCTTGGTTTACATATTCTAAAAACAAGAATGCAATTTTTTGTACACCCCGCAAGATTTATCAAAAACATGGTGCTGCCGTTACACCATACAACAGGACCATTAATTGGGAAAAAGTTTTAGCAAGATTAACTGAGCGCGAAGAGTCTGGAATCCACGGAGGTGCATGATTAAGTGGAAAATTCGAGTACAACAAATGAAATCGTGCCAAGGCATCGATCACACGACACTGAGCTACTCATTTATACAGAGAAAGAAAAATGGAGAAAAATTCTATATACCCATGGATGCGTTACTATATCTTTCAACAATCTGTTGTTCTTTTCTTAGGTCTGATGAAATCCCAAGTAGCCTGTTTACAAAGTGTCGTCGACCTAGCGAAGGAAATTTTCTGAATTTAATCTCTCCGTTCGCCAAACATAATTCAACTCTTAAGTACAAGTACCTAACAAGTCAAAGCACCTTACAAAGGGAAAGGAATCATATTTACACCATATGTGTCTCATACAGAAAAAAAAATGAACCAAGTGACTCAATACGTAAAAAAACATGTGGTGATTGCGTGAGATGAAGGAAAATTTAATTGATTTCATAGAAGTTGGTGGAAAGATAGGAGAATGTATTTCTGAACGCATTGTAGAAAATTAGTGTCTTAATTGACGCTTGATGGTTTAGATATTGGACAATGTCGGTGTCAGTCTTACGACAACGGGTCTAATATGGCTGGCATTTCTAAAACAGTACAAGCTAGAATTACAGAAATGAATAAGCTGGATGAATTTGTGCCATGTTTGGCTCACTCCTCGTATTTTGTCAGTATGCATTCTGCTTCTTCGTGCCCGGAAGCAGTTAATCTGTTTGTAATTACTCAGAAAATACTTCGCTTTTTTGTCGGATGCACTACTCGACAGTATATTATTAAAAAATGTACAAAAATACAACTTAAAAAGGCAGCAGCCAGACGAGATGGTCGGAAAAAAAATATGTGGCTGTGTGAAAGTCCTTCTGATGAATTTACCGGAAATATTCAAATATTTAAAAGAAATTAAAGATATTTCCCTTCAAAGCATGAGGTAGGACATCTGTTACATGCTGTGAAAAATTTGAATTTACTCAACCTGAAAATTTTGCAAATATTTTTCCGGAATTCAATCGAGTAAATATAGAAATTCTTAGAGAATTCCTCTTCCGCGTTCTGTGCAGTTAACGAAAGAACTGACCAAAACTGAGGAATTATAAAAAATGAGAGAAAACTCCTATGGAATATTGGATACAAGAGTCTAAAACAGTAACCAAAAAAAATTGCAGTTGAGTCTATTCTGACAAATAAAAATAAAAAGAATTCAAAAGCACAAAAAAGCAATTCTGATGAACTGTTTGAGGACGAATCACGAACACTTCAACCTGTTCAGATCGAAGTTTAAGCAAATTAAAACATATTAAAAAATATCTACGTTCATCGGTGAGCAAGAGCGTTTATCAAGTCTCGAGATTCTGGTAACAGAAAATCAAACCGCAGATCAAATTATGACGATTCCATGCACTTATTTGCAGAATAAAAGGCTTACAGTGTAAAATTTAAATTTTCGTTACTAATTCCGTGATATTTTAATATCGTTAAGGCAGGTAAGAATTTAAAATTACTTATGAAATAGGAAGTATGAAAAACAAGACAGGAAGCACGAATACTCTCAGTAATAGCCTATATTCTGTATAATCGTTTCAGAATACTTCCTTTCGACAATAGCCTATATTTTGTATGCAATGGTTCCATTAGTGGCAGAGCAATAAAATCCACTGAGCACTAGTAGTTCGGTCCGAGTGTCAAGTATAGGTGAATGGGCTGGCTGTATGAGTATTTCCGTGATTTTCCCCGTGTGTTACATAGATACAAGCCAGTTTTCCTTACAAAGTTTTTTTCCACGGGATATTCCTCCTTTTCCATGCAGAGCCTAATGGCGAAACACATAGTAAATAATCAGACAAATGCCCTCAGCAGTGGCCGAGTGATTAATATCACTGTATACTGGTAGTTCGATCTTGCCTGGGTTCAAACACAGGCGAACGGGCTGGCTATAGGGTTTGTTTTCGTGGATTTCCTCATGTGTAACGTGAATACGAGCCAGTTTCCTTTAAAAAGTTCCTCCACGAAAACACCTCTCCTCTAAGCAGGTAGCCGTCATGTCTTTGCCATATTCATAGAATCTAACCCAACCTAATTTAACCAGTAATGTAATAATACGGAATAGAGGCACGTTAAGAATTTAGTATAAAATAGAGCTTAGCTTTTTTACCTCAAACCCTACCTATTTCTGTATTTATTAAAGAAATTAAAACTTTTTAGAGAAACTTAAAGGATGATGGGTGAGGGCGGCAGTTTTAACTTTTGCATCACATCAGAAAAATCAAAGATCCGGCGCTGCCATAACGAACCTGCATTTTCACAAATAAATTTGTTTTTATTACTGTTATGAAGAGTAGGTTTTCTTGCTACATAATATAACTTAGTCGAGTCTGTTGTAACGAAAGTCAATGATCCTAGATTTTTCATAGAGTTCTCTTTTCTAGCTACGTTGACCCGAAATATAAAACAAGATGTTCATAGTCAGACTGTGAGAGGACATTATTATAGGCACTTCAAGGCTGTTGCCATCCTTCTCATTTGCGACTGTAAAGATGATGCCATCATCACAGTACATATTTTCTCCACCACATTTTAGAATGTAATTCACGTTCCCCTTCATTCGCGGGTTTTTCATGAAACGGAACACGGTATAAAGTACCTTCAGCTGTAAGCAATATTTACATCCGTATACGACCTACAGTTGTGTACTCCAGACAAGTGCTGTAAGATTACGCTGTAAGTCGTAAATGCAGCAATACAGCGAAATGCAGCTGTAAACGCAATGAATTTTAGCTTGCAATATGAATGCAAACCAAAAATCTAATGAAAGCCATCAAATCAAATAAATCCAGCCGGTTGTAATTATAGCTCACGGTATGTCTGATGTGAATTTAGAAGCTATGTACCTAATTTCCAGAGTTCTTTCTAGTTTGCTTTATTGTGTTCCCAGACGTTAATGCAGAAGAACTGTATCTTTTTACCTTTTTAGCACACTACCTGCTCTCCATATTTATACCCTTCTATTTATTTAATTTGTATGATCAGAAATCATAGTGAGGACTTATTTTTAAGCTTCAAGATAGAATGTGCTTCGAATAGATCAAGGAATAATAATTTCCAACAGTTTATGAAAATAATAAATCTAAGCAGGGGTATATGTCCCGTCATGCACTATGACGTTCAATCTCTAAAAGTTTCCATTGTGTCAACAAAAACTTGTCATGCCTATCTCCAATTTACCACATACACATTACTTTTTTTAAAGATTTTACTCTGAGTATTAAAAAAATTTTAATAAAAAATCTAATTAAATCTTTATTTTCCCTTACACAATTAACAGCAAATGAAGAAAATCTTTCGCCAGACTGTGCACGCTTATATTTAAAAAAGAAATTGTTTTTTATCATTTAGGGGAAGTACAAGTGCACTTCTTTACAACCTGCTACTCCATGTTTAGAAGGCTGATCTAATATGTTCCGGAGTTCTGAGATCTATGACTTGTTCGTAAATGTAAAATAGATCCCAGTTAAAGTGTTCACACGTAATAAGCACTGACATACTTAAGTTTTTAGACCAGTTAGTCTCTTCAGCGCCAATGATGATACAATTCGTTCACAAAAATTAACGCTCTTAAAAAAACACTTTACAAGCTGAAAAGAATAACTTCCTACGTGATGTTCCTTTAAAAATGTGCGAAGTTCACAGTCTTTGTTTCTAGAATTTTAACAGTTATAAAGAAATTAGTTAATATATTATGCCCTTCATTCATGTATAGAAATAATGCAGTTTTTTCATAGCAAAATGTGTTTAACTAGATAATATATGTGAACCCTTTTTGGGCGAACGACATTAAGACATCTCGTAAAATACTGACAATAAAAATAAGAAATATATTTTTCCAAGTTGCTCTCTTTTTACTTAAATGTGATATTAAAATTTTGTCTCATACCCTGCAAGAGTGTGTAAAGAGCCATCTAACGAAATTTCTCTCCCCTCCCTTGTTGTAGGCATCTTTGATTGCTCTGACTGTCAGACTTTTTAAACCGTGAGCATTAGTGTTTCGTATTCGCATATAACAAGCAGGAGATATCTCAACCACTTGTTTTCTTCTGTGCATTTTCATTCTGAGAAGTGGATAATTGAATCATTTGCAGTTCTTCCGCGTGAAGTTATCGTTTCTTTATTTTGGTTTTCCTGAAGAAATAAAAATGGTTATAAAAGTGTATATTTCGGGAATATCTGGAAACCATGAGGTAAGCTTTTCGAAAGTTGCATGTTAGGAAATGAGAATCTTTGATTTTTAAAGTTATTTAGGACATAAGTTATGTTATGATTTCAGACTTCATAGGGATTAGTTGTGCCTTTACCTCACTTCACCATCATGCAGTTATTATGTGTGTCAGAGTCCTTATTTGGCTTTCTGCAGTGCGCTTGTTTTATACAAGTGCAGTATCAAACAAAATGTGTTCTTGTTAATATAAGTAAACTCTTAGACAGTTGGTGCATATTACTTACATATAAATATGTCTGGGTGCAGGAAGTTTTTACACATATGTCATTGAATAATGCTTTACTTAATTTCAGTGTTAAGCTACAAAATAAATAGATGGAGATTACTAATGAAACTGTAACATAAATAGCTCAAATTATGTGACATATTGAGTGATAAATCCAAACTGTTTCTTCAGTTTAGCCAAGTCAAGTATTAGACAGACTATGTATTCAGAATCTTTATACAGTTGTTAAAGATTGTTGGCAAATAACATCATCAGCTTAAATCATCAAGTAGTATTTTGATGGTAACTGACATGGAAGTTAAATAGGTCTTCTAGAAAGTAATAGAAAAAGCCTTTATTGGTTTTGGGCTTGGATTTGATTGTTTAAAAGGCAATGCAATCCATGAATTGTACTTAGAATGAAATCATTTTTTTTTTAAACCGATTGTCATGAATTGTACTTAGAATGAAATCATTTTTTTTAAAATTAATTTTCACTGCCTGTTAGAAATTTCTAGGAAATACTTTAGAATGGACTTCACATTTTTCTGCAAGATCTTAAAAGTAGTTAAAGCCTACCAGCAGCTGAGCGGCAAAGTTATTGAACACTAGTAGTTCAATATGGGATTCAAATGCTGGTGAACAGAATGGCTACATGGAGGTTTTCATGGTTATTCCCATGTGTAACATGATAGCAAGTTATCCTTAGAAAGTCCTCCATGAACATGATGGCATTCCTTCCTTAGATAACCCTTAAATGCTTTTCTATAATTATGTTTCAGTTTTTATTTATCTGGTATCCTTTGATTATTCAAATACATATTTATTGATGTACTGTCAGAAAACGAATTTTCGAGTGAAGTGCAGAATTGCCCATTTATTTGTTAGCGCTTTTTACAAGACTAAGAAGAATTGGATTTTTGTAAATTTTCTTTGACTTTTTAAGTGAAAATAGGTCGACGTGTACGTAGATACCGAGTTATGTGCAATTCTTAAAAACGCGCCAAGCAGTGGGCTATTCTGCACTTTCCACAAATTTTCTTATGCAGTGTAATCTTGCAGGAAAATCTTGTAACATATATCATTAGAATTTTCTTAAATCATAAATTCTGAAAACTTTGAAAGTTATTTCTATTTCAGTGTATAACGATATATGTAAAAAATTTATAATGAAATAGATACAAGGTTTAGTTTCTAAGTTTTATTTGGTTCTGCATATGTTCCAATTTTTGAGATTCTGGACTGATACTAGAAATCAAAGATATAGAATTTATGTATAAGTAGTAAAAAGTTACATGATTAAGATTTCGAAATAAAAAAAAAAAATTGAAAAGTGTAAAGGAAATTAGAGATAAATTAACAGTAAAATTTAAAACCTGAATTTCATAATATGTTGAAAAACACATTTATCATATCACAAGCAGTTGGCGTGTATGAAAAGTTATGAAGTTTAGTATTTTGAATAATCTTAAATTAGCAGTGTCATAACAATTAAAATAAGACATATATGTTTTGTATTTGTTTCTAAGGAATTAATTAAAGACATATATTGTCTATTACTGCCCTGGCTATGAAGAGTATCTTAATAAGAGTATAAATATTCAACTCGTGACTGTACAAAACTCCATTTCATGAGTTGTACATTTTTGCAAACTGCAATCCCAAATATCTCAAAATATAGACAAATATCCCAAACGATTTGTCTTTTTAATGATACCCATTCATGAATTTTTAATTTTGAAATTTTTTGTGGTCAAGAATCCGTTATGTATTACAAACTGGTATGTTTTCCCTATACTAAGTGTACTTATTGTATATATTGTATTTATTATATTATTTGCTTAATGAAATATTTTATACCGTAGAATATTTTTAGAACTTGTTCAGAAACTGCCATAACTGGAATTAGCATTAATTAAAAAAAATTCTGTTATTGCTTTTATAAAGTAAATGTAGTTTAAAAATTCATTAATGGTTATTAATGAAAATTGTTAAAAATTATGGTTTTGAAAATTTACTACTTGAAAAATTTTCAGATACGAAAGCATCAGCAAAGGGTGCTGTTTATTCTTTCATCTCTGAAAATCGATTTTGAAATCATAGACATAACAGAGATTGGAAAAGAAGAAGAGCGAGAGTATATGCGTAACCAATGTAAATTGCATGAAAAGGAGAATCCTCTGCCACCTCAGATTTTCAATAATGATGATTACTGTGGGGTAAGAATGTGGATAATAAATCTCTCTTAAAAAATTTTTGTTAAATATCTTTGTTCTGATTTTCTGTAATTAATTGTGTCTAAGTTATCTGGAATTCCATATCGTATCATCTTGCTTTTGATTCTAGATAAAATTAAACTTACTATTTGTTGTTAATTTATGTTTTTGATATCTTATTTATTTAAATAATATTAAAATGTAATACAACACTTACTTTTTAAAGAAGTTGTTAAAGTAATTTTAGTGAAAATTCGTGACATGTAGATTAGTTTACAGTCTTCAAAATATTATAGGGTTTAGGGTTAATAATTCCCCTTTCTATTTCCAATGTCTGGACACTTGCTTGTCAGTCATTTATTTATCTTATTGCAAAGAATGTTTCCTAGAGAGGCACAGGCCCAATTAATATTATAACTACTGACATCCAAGCTTTATTGAGGCTTCAAACTCTAAACCAGCAGTATGGTAGCCACTGTACTGAACACCATTAACTTTCCGTAACAAACAAGGCAATATGTGTAGGACTAATGAAAAAGTAATTTCATGTTGTAAAAAATATCCTGATTTCATTGCTTACCATGAGTATTCCCTTTTTAATTCCTTTTCAGTACATTATGATGATATTGTCAGTTCTCTCTCTCCAAAGAACCTTTTATCATGCAATATGCAGTTATTTATGTACTTTCGGTTGATCTTTGGATTATGGTATGGCGACCAACTCTGCTACAGCAACCCTCTATTTTTTTTCGCCGCTAAGTAAAGACATGTTTTTTTTCTTTTTATTTACTCAACACTTTTGCCAACAATCTACTAGCCAAATTACACTTACGCTAGAAATTTTATGTAACAAAACTGCTTAATCATGACAAATATTAACTGCAAATTTGGGAAAAAGTGCGCAATCCCAAACTCCTTGCGCGTTTTTCAGAATAGCATATACACATAAACCATTTACAAGTCGACTTATTTTTACTTCAAAAAACATCCCAGAATTGCACAAAAATGGCATTGCACACACTCTTAACTTTATCTATCTACACTGCTATTTTCTCATAAATTACAAAAATTTGCATGAAAATGCAGGAAAATTTTCTGAATCTTTAAACTCAGTAAAAAGCACATATATGAAATTACCTGATCGCGAAAAAGTATATACCCTTTCCAAGTATGAACATTTCCATGTATAAAATAAATAAAATATCCAAAAACTTTTACCTCTAAATTATCTGTTATATTATAAACGTCATCAACGAATTTCTACCGCAAACATTAAAAATGGTTAAATACTTAGTGTCAAATATTTAAATTATTTCCATGCACGTTTACTTCAACTGAAACATATACCAAATTGTTACAAACATAAAATTCACAAAATAACTATCATTTAATTAAAATATAACTAAACCATGTACACGTCGACTTATTTTTACTTAAAAAAACATCCCAGAATTGTACAAAAATAGCATTGCGCACACTCTTCACTATATCCAGGTACACTGCTTTTTTCTCATAAATTAGAAAAAATTCACGAAAATGCATGAAAGTACTCAACGTATACTACTCAAACATATTCCAAAATACTACAAACATATAACTCACAAAATCACGATCATTAAATTAAAAGATAATTAAATTAAAAAACACTACTTAAAATATAAATAAGTGCACATACATTAAATTAATAAGAATTAGATTACAATCCTAATTACTTTAAACTAAATCATTGCTAATAACAATTTTCCAATAATACCATATTAATTTATTTACTCCTTACATTTAGAACAATGTTGTAAAGAAAGAAGTAGAGGGCGCTGCTTGGCAGTAGCGCAACGCATGTAAGTAGAAACGAATGTCGTTTGATAGGCAACATGATTTCTGTGAGGTAGTCCACCTAACAATAGGACAGTTGTAAATAGTAATATAACGAATAATAATAGCATTAGAAAACGAACCATCGGATGTTTTGTGATTGCTCTACGGGCCGCCATGGATAAATGCAGGTTCGTCACAAACTGTTGTATCATAAATTATAATACGACGTTTAGCTTAAGAGAGCTTCTCCTGACGCATGCGCCGTTCGCGTTTATCCGCGCGGTGATGAATGATGACGTAACTGTTTATTACGTATGTATGTATATGTATACCATTCTTACTTCTTCGCCTTTTTTGCTCTGCTGTACGCAACTATGTTTAAGTTAACCTTCTGTCATTAAAAATGTTCATTGATATTACAATCTATTTAGGCTTATTTATTTCTTCATGGTTATGGGCCCAGGAACGTTTCAACTGTGCCTAATTAGCAAAATACTTATTTTAAAATGAACATTTTGAAGTTTTTCGAGCATTGAACTCTTAAGCCTAATTCAGTGCAAGAACTGTTACGTCTAATCAACGGTAAGAACTGATCAGCGTTCAGTTAAGCCTATTTTTATAGCGCTCAATCTTGTTTTTTGGCTGTGAGAGACTGTATTACATTATGTCGCATTTGACTACTATAGATAAGCTCGGAAAAGATAATTTTGACAGTTGGAAATTACAAATAGAAGCAGTATTGATTAAAAACGACCATTGGGATTATGTACCGGTAAAGCGCTAAAACCTGCTGAAGGAACCGAGACGAAAAGAAATGGCTCCAAGCTGATCAAAAGCTCGCGCAGATATAATTCTTGCTATTAATCCTAGTGAACTGTGTCATATAAAGCATTGTGTGACATCAAATGCTGTGTGGAATAAACTCAAAGCCGTATATGATCAAAGGACCTGCGAAGAAGGCTACATTATTAAAACAGCTTTTATTTAGAAAAATGGCGGAAAGCGAAACGATGTCTGAACATTTGAATAATTTCTTCGAAATAGTTGATAAGCTTAAACAAATGGAAATTGACATAGCTGATGATTTATTATCGATTCTTCTGCTCTACAGTATTCCAGAAATTTTGAAAATTTTAGATGCGCCATCGAATCAAGAGATCAGTTACCTAGTCCCGAATCTTTGAAAATCAAAATGTTAGAAGAATGGGAAGCAAGAAAAGGGAAAATGTCTCAAGATTCACAGAATGGCATACTATACTGATTTATAAAGAAGAAATCAAGAACAAGAAAAAATGAAAAATGGAAGGTAAATTCAAACAAAAATTTTCCAGCTGAAAGAAATTTTCGAACTTGAAGTGTAATTACTGCTTCGAAAATTGGGCACAAGGCATCTGAATGCAGAAAGAAAATAGCTGATAGAAAATATGCACAATCAAATAGGGAAATCAAGGTTCTATGATGGCTTCTAATTATGAAGAGCAGATTAGTTTAGCAGTAAACAATGCTTATCAGAAGACCTCCTCATGGTGCTTAGATAGTGGCTGTACATCTCACATGTGCAATGACAGAAGGTTATTTTCAGAATTTCACCCTCGAACGAATTCAACCATAAAGTTAGCAGTTGACAAAACATAAAAAATTACAGGAATTGGAACTGTCCTCATCACAGTACCTAACGGAAATAAGACAATTAAACTTACGCTCAAAAATGTGTTATGTGTTCCGGAATTAAAATGTAATTTGCTGTCAACATCTAAAGCTACTGCAAATAATCGTTCAGTGATTTTTACAGAACGGCATGCTAGAATAATAGAACCAAATGGATCTATACTAGTGCAGGCTATTCGTCATGGTGATCTTTATTATATACATCCAAGCGCTGAAATAACTGCAATAGCACAGGTAAGTAATTTTGTAAAGTGGCATCTTAAATTAGGTCATTTAAATGAGTCTGATTTGAAAAGACTTAAATTCTGATAACATGGTTAGAAATTTAAATTTTAATAACACTGAATCTCTAAAAGACTGCAAAAATCTGTATCCGAGGTAAACAAACTGTGCAACCTTTTCAAAAAGAATCAAAATTTCAAAGTAATGAATTACTGAACTTGATTCACTCAGATTTGTGTGGACCTATGAGAGTCCCATCCCATGCTGGGTTCGCGTTATTTTGTTACTTTCATAGATGACAAATCGCGTTATGTCGGAAGTCAGTTTTCTTAAAACTAAAGATGAAGTGAAAAATGCATTCATTAAATACAAAGCTGCGGTCGAAAATCGTCTAGGAAAGAAAATAAAAATCCTTCGGACTGATAACGGTCTCGAATATCGCGGAGAAGAAATTTAATAAATATATTCAAGAATGCGGGATTAAATGACGAGAATTCTCTGCACCAATGACTCCTCAACAGAATTCGAGAGCTGAACGCATGAACCGCACTTTAACTGAAATGGCCAGATGTTTGTTACTACAAAGTAATCTTCCCTCCCCAATCCTTTTGGGCTGAAGCCTTGAACTGTGCTGTTTATATTCGTAATCGTTGCCCGAATCGAAGCCTGGGAGTAAACAAAACACCTTATGAATTATTTTTTGGCATCAAGCAAACAGTATCTCACTTCAAAATATTCAAATAGAAATGTTTTGTACTTAATAAAAGGTCTAAAGGGAAAATTCGATCCTCGATCAGAAGAACATATTTTTGTAGGATACTCAAATGAATCGAAAGCATACAGGCTGTGGAATAAAATTCCAGAAAAATCGTTATAAGCCGAGATGTTAGATTCATTGATGAATTTGAAAACTCTACTAATTATGATAAGATTTAGAAGTTTTATTTTCTCTCAAAATATTCCTGATAAAAAGAAGGAAGAACCTCTGAATGTAAAGCAAATATCGGCTGATGAAATAACTGAAGACCCCTCAAATATGGCAGAATCATCTGATAATGAAGATTCTGATTCTGAAGCACTACCTGAAATGCAGATTAAAAGGGGGGCCAGGTCGTCCAAAGAAAGTCAAGACTGGGAAGCCAGGAAGACCAAAAAAGGAGTACCACAATATAAACATAGAAAAGGAAGAAGCACAAATTGCTGAAGAAGATACAAATCCGACATTAGAAGAAGCATTAAATGGAAGTTATGCTGAAGAATGGCATAAGGCTATGCAAAGTGAGTATGAAGCACTTGTT